CCCTGGAGAAGGATATCATGCTTGGTAAGGTGGAGGGTCAGTGAAAAAGGGGAAGACTCTTAAGGAGATGGATTAACACAGTGGCTGTGACGACAGGCTCAAGTACAGCAAGGATTGTAGGCTGACACAGGACCGGGAAGTGTTTTGCTGTGTTGTACATAGAGTGGCTGTGAATCAGGGCCAACTCGAAAGCACCTAACAACAACAACAGCAACCCTGAGGAAAAAAGGCCTGACGATTTACTTCTGTAAAGATCACAGCCAAGAAACCCCCTACGGGGCCTTTCTATTCTGTAACGCTTGGAGTTGCCATGACTCAGAATCAACTAGAAAGCAATCATTTTGGTTTTTTGTTTGTTTGTTTGTTTGGGAATGGTATGCCCTGTTGCAAGTGCATGGTCTAATGGATGGAGACAGGAAGGAACTCAAAACCCCTGATGAAGCTGCCCTTGAGACTTCTGGGTATGCTAAAATGCAAAACTGTGTTAACAGGGATGGAGCCCTTTCTTCAGGGCTCTTTACTGAAGGGGGCACTGGAGAGGGGGTTATCTGCACAGCCCCCTCTTCTCTGCTGGGGAATGGCCAAGCCTGAGGCTTGGCGGCTGCTTTTCACTTGTGTGTGTCTCTATATTAAGGCAGGGGCCCAAGGTAGGGGGGCCAGGGGCTGGGGGTTGCTTTTTGCTTGGGGTGGCTCTTTATTAGGGCCTGGACCTGAGGTAAGTGGGCCCAGGGCTTGGAGGCTGCTTTTCACTTGAGTGTGGCTCTATATTAAACCTGGGGCCTGAGATAGGTGGTCCTGGGGTTTGGAGGCTGCTTTTTTGCTTGAGGATAGCTATATTTTAAGTCCAGGCCTGAGGGAGGCAGATTCAGAGGAGTTAGGAACAACTAAGGGAGATGAACTTGTCTGTCAGTTTGTCGTCCTGTGGTGGCTTGCATGTTGCTGTGAGGCTGGAGGCTATGCCACCGTGTTGCAAAATGCCAGCAGGGTTACCCGTGGTAGACAGGTTTCAGCAGAGCTTACGGGCTAAGACAGACTCAGAAGAAGGAGGAGACCATCCATTTCTCAAAGAATTGGCCAGTGAAAACCTTATGAATAGCAGTGAAATACTGTCTGATATATTACTGGAAA